AAACAACTTTTGCCTGAGGGTCTTGGAGACATTCAGAACCAAATTGGAGAAAAAAAATAAAAACTATGTCTGGTACTACAAGCTCCTATGAAGTTGTACCCTAAAACTCGTGGTACAACGTACGTATGTTGTATTCGAATACAACGTACCCCATACGTTGTACTCGTACTCGTATGCAACATACGTACGTTTTCTCGGGTTAAGACAGTAGCCCTCCCTGTACCAGGACATTACATCTTAGAGACAATGCCATCCTAACCAACGTCAACCATAGCTGACCTGTTCTCGCCATCAGACTATCCCTGGACCCATAGGTTGGATTGCCCTCCTCCTCCAGCAAAACCCCAGATCTCTCTACAAGGCCTCACACTCCTGCCATTCGCAGGTTACAGGGCAACACCCCAGCTCCGGCCAGCGTCGTTCTGGCATCGGCAAACCAGGCGTACAGAAAAAAGCAACTCTGCAGATATCAGTCCAGGTTCGACCATCTCCGAAATCCTATATCCCAAATGAGGAAGAAGACGAGATGCTGCTAAGCATTACAAAACACCAGAAAGCTTGATATGACAACTGCTGATTCTATGAAAACTGTGAGATAATGATACTAATGACGATGATGCTAAAGATGATGGAGGTTAGTAAATCAGCTGATGATGACTACATCCGTAACTCGCAGCCTCACAATCAATGAGCAACTCTTTGCTTTCCCCTAAACCAGACTCAGCACTCCAAAGATAAAATCAACCTGCCCAATGCCTGCCATCGTTGTCGTGTTCTCACTACCAAAACTATACCCGACCTCAAAGGTTGTCTTGGTAGTACCTCCTAGTTCACCACTGGATTGCCTTCCTCCCTCGACAAATCCCCAGATCTCTCTACCAGGCCTCACGCTCCTGCCACAAAACAGGTCACAGGGCAAACACCCCAGCACCAGCCACCGTCATTCTGGCATCAGCAAACCAAGAGCTCAGAACACTACTACTCTCACAAACACCAGCCACATATTAATTTTCTGTTTCGGAAACTAACACCGTTCGTTATTAGGCATTGGATTTCTGCACATTTTCGTAAGCGAGCCCTAGCACATGCTGCTCCCCACAAATAGATTGGAGCATTGGAGCATTGGAGAGAAAAAAAAGGACTTTGGACTCCCAGCTGGTTTTGTCCTCCTGTTCTCACAGCCTTTTTTCCCATGCATCCTCTCTTGCTTTCTCCTTGTGTCCTTCTTCCGATCAGTAGTGTCTTTTGTCCGGCTTGCCCCTATCCCATCCCTTTTTTTTTAAAAAAAAGCAGAAAAGGAAAAAAGAACATCTCTGGGCAAGTCCACTATCCGGCCGGATTTAGAGGGGGGGGAGAAAGAAAAGAGGTCTCGCCTAGTGGATGGTTCCCCAATCTATGGGATGGGGAGCAGCACCCTTGTACCATTATCACCTGGTAGGCACAGCTTCCCTGGCCAACAGTGTGTCCAACGTAGAAAATGCAGCAGACTAGCAGTCTAGTAAGGGCATTATTCACACCGGCTTTCCTGGGGCCAAGTCCCACTTACCGGAATTCTCAATTTCTGACCTTAGATATGAAGATCAAAGGTCAGAAATAAAGAATCAGTGCAAGTGGGTCTTGGCCCTGGGATGTATCTGCCCTCCCGTGTCTCCATCATCGTGAAGGACCTAAACATATTCCTGATCACCTGACGTGTTTTCCTTTTTTTTGGGGACAACATCGGGTGCAGGTGTGTTGGGGGAGCTGGTAGGAGCACACACACCCACCATGACTCCGCAGAATGATGGCGCCGTTCTGTTGGTGGGGAGCTGCACCTCCTGGCAATAGGGTCCAGTGTCCCTATACAACAGAACAGCGCGGAGTTTACATAGGAGCACTGTGTAGCCAGTGCCCGTTAGCTGTAGGTTATCTTTCTTTCACATAGTTAGATCGTATCCACTCCCTTGCCTACTTTTACACATAGCTGCAGAGAAGCCCTGCCTGTCGTAATCCAGCAGGTTGCCCTTGAGGGGTCTGCTCCCCCTCTACCTCCACCAGTGTGCTTTCCGTGACCCCAGTTTGCTGGTCTGCCTTGGGGGGTCTGCGCCCAGCCTACCTCGACCTGTAAGCTTCCATGACCCCTATTCACCTCTTGAATCCGCCGGCCTGATCCTTTGTTTGCTTTGCCTGTTCTCCATGACTTCTGCTCTGGCAAGGCTGTCGTTCTGCTGCTTATGGTGGGAAAATGGTGGGAAAATGGTGGGAAAAAGCCTCAACTGCATTTCTGCTAAGGTTGTCTTCTGTAATTCTCAGGTGCAGGAAGCATGGTGGGCACCTTTGTGCTGTCCCTTGATGGTTCTATCTTCGTGTCCCAGCATCTGTCGTCCCTGCCGGAAGGTTGGACTCGGCATTCACTTGTACGTGATGCCTTCAGATCATGGGGCGTGTTGTGCGGGGGGGGGGAAGGGGGTTGAGGAGGGGGTAAGGGTGCTGGTCTTCACGTGTTTTCATTGTTAGGAGGTCTCGAAGGGTGCACTGTAGGGAGTATACCATTTTCTTTGCAAGCTCTCTGATTCTCCTCTCCTCCTTTATCCAGGAGGTGGAGAGAGAACCACCTAGATTGAAGGTTGCAGTAGGATGCCTCCAATCCATTGGGTGGGCAGCACCACCTGCTGGAAAACAGGTCCAGCGTCCCAGTATTTACATGAAAAATCACAGAGTCCGACTTTTGATGTGTTTGACCGGTGTGATCATTTAGTTCATAAGATGAGGCAACTTAGGTAAGGGAACCTTTTTATTTTTTTAATCGAAGGCTGGAAACCGGGTCCAGCGGAAGTCTCCCCCAGTATATAATGGTTGTTACGTGTTTTTACTCCTTTTTTTTTTCTTTTCTTTTTTTTCACACAGAGAAGCCCCTTCTATTCTGGGGGGCATGATCCAGCGGCCTGGCTCAGTTGGTAAGGCACGCAAGTGGCATTCAGGAGGTCTTGGGTTCAATCCCCATTGGCCTCATGCACCTTCCTGGGCAAGCTTGGCGCCCGCCACCTAGAGATATGCTGTTGTTCCCCCCGAGTGGCATTGAGCAGAGACTGCTGATGTTCATAGGGGGAGGGGACCAGAGGGGAGGCACAGTGACTGGCCCATCGAAGAAGCTCGGTCCTGATGCTACCGGCTGACCCCTGGCCCGTATCGCCCACCTGCTGTAGCAGGTATAGCATCTGCTGGTGGGTGCAGCTCCCGCATGTTCCCTCGTTGGAGGCTTGAGCACGGATGTGGCTGCTACGGGGTTCCCCGTAATACTATAATGACAATAAAAAAGGCCTGAAAGGCCGTCCTGTCCAGATTTGACAGGTAATTGAATTGGTTAGCCTTTTATAATGTAAAAAAAAGATTCTGGGGGGCATCTGTCCGGTTGCTTATCACCGGCAAAAGGGGACAGCCTTACCCTTGTGGTCCTAGACGCCTGTCAAGGGGGGGACTGCCACAACCGAACCCTCCTTCCATGCCATGGCCTCCCGGGGATCCTTTTGCTGGCCGGGACGCTTCCTAGCAGCACCCAGTCACGCAGCAGAAGGGTCCCAGGGTAGCAGTCTCTCAGGCCGCTCGTCATCCATCCTCTTGTTGACTACTACAAACCATTACAAAACTATTTCTCCTATATCCAACTTCCTGTTGTACCGTTATTGCCCATGTAGATCGTCTTTTTTCTTTTTTTTGGGGGGGGCCGTACTAGAGTGGGTGATATGAGCCGGCCCCCCTAGGAGATGTGCACACGTCCAAGATCCTCATGACGGGTCAAAGTTGTTAGTGGAATGTCCTTTCTTTTTTTTTTTGTGTTGGGGGGGGGGTGTGGAGCGGGGGTCATTTACCATGCCAGTAAGGTGGTCTGACGGTCATACAGGAACATTTTTTCCTAAGTTTTCTCTCTCTTGTATGTGCTATTCCAATTGTTCCTTTACTGTACTTTCCTTTTTCCTTCCTTGTTCTTCTTCTTCTTCTTCTTCTTCTTCTTCTTCTTCTTCTTACGCTGATGCTCGAAGGGGAAGCGCATGTCAACCTTGCTTCCCACGATTTTTCTTCCTTTGTTAAGATTGATGAAAATGATGACGATGAGGGGATGACAACGATCACAATAATGGTGATGACGATGATGATGGGGATGATGGTGGTGTTGGTGAGGTGGTGGTGACAATGATGATGATGATGATGGTGAATGGGACGGTGCTTTTCTTTTTTTTGCTTCGCTTTTTGTTTTCTGGTCCTACCCTTTATTTGTTGTTTTAAGTTTTAACATCATGCTGCGTCTCGTCTATCCAGGGGGTGGTGAGAGAGCCCGCAAGATTGAGGGATGCAGAGGTATGGCTACAATCAATTGGTGGGGAGCAGAACACCTGCGGGAACGCTGGTGCTGTCGTAGTTGATTTGCTCATGTATGAGTTTGGCAATGGTGATGTGGCAGATAGGCATACTGGACGTGGACAAGTGTGTTCCTGTAAGGACGTTCAATCACCACAGCGCTGCTGTTCTCAATGTGAGTTGGAACAGCTTCAACCCACGCTTACTGGCTTCGTCATCGAAGGATGGCTTCTGCGTGGTCTTCGACGTGGATGGGAGCATTATCCACAAGTTGAAGCACCCGGACGCAGCGTATGGATGTGCCTGGTCGCCGCATGTTGAGGATCGAATCATCACCGGGTGCGACGACGGGAGGGCGTACGTGTGGGACGTAGACTCCACCGACGTCAATGTTGGGAGGGTGGTGGGTGGAGGAGCTGTCAGTCCAATCCATCCCCTGAGGACGATACGCGGCCACTCGAGGAAGGTATTTAACGTCGTCTGGTGTCCCCACCTTTCCTTCAAGACAATGGTATTGAGTGGGAGCGACGATGGCACCGCGCGGGTGTGGGACAGCGAGACTGGATCTTGTCGCAGCGTCCTCGAAGGCCATTCCCACTTCGTACGTGCGCTGATGTGGCATTCCGAGATTTTGGAGGTGGTCATCACTGGCAGCTGGGACGCGACCATCCGGATCTGGGACTGGACAGCTGGCAAGGGACCTGATGCTGCCAATGGCGGTGTAGGCGCGGTGGTTGGCATCTGCTTGATGACGGTGACGGACCATCATGCAGACGTCTACGGCCTCTCTGCGCATCCGGAGCGTCCATTCCTGATCGCGTCGTCCTCGAGGGACACCACACTCCGATTATGGGCCTTGGATTTGCCGAGGTTCGGCTGCCTGAAGGCCCGGATGATGTTCTTGGAGAGCCCCATTGACTGGTTCTCGGAGGAGAAGAAGGGCATGCTGCTGACGGAAGAGAAAAGGGAGCGAAGACCCTCGGTGCTGAAGAACAGGAGTCATTCGGTTGCTGGCAGATTGACCGAGGGGATGGGGTTGCCTCCGTCGGAAGACAGTCCGTCAAGGGCACCCACGGACGCTCTAGCAGCGTCGATGGCGGCAGGCGACAGGAGAGACGACCTGCCCGTCAGCTATCAAGCAGGCACTGCTGCTGACATCAACAGCAGGGAAGGAAATCTCAGCTTCACAGCATCACTCGGGTTGCCTGTCGCAGGGGAAGAAGGAGGAGGAGGAGGAGGGGGCTCTTTCTCGTTGATGATGCTCGGCCGAAAGGCAAGTACCGGCCCTGCAGCTGCGACTGTTCCATCCGCCAGTGGCACGGCACCTTCTCATCACAGGATTCGGTTGATCGGCAGAGCTTCGGCCGCTCTCATCCAGCACTTGGAGACGCTGAAATCTGGTGTCGGCCTTGGGCTGGGGCAGGACTTCTCCCCCAGACTCATACTCATTACGAGATTCCACATAATCTCCGAGTTTGTGTTGGTATCGAGTGCCTTGACGGAGCTTTGGACCTTAGCTCGGATTCTAGCCAATCAACGAAGCGCAAGCTCTGTGACATCTCTGCCGCCTTTGCAGTCGCCCGGCCACAGAGCGAGGGCGGGCAGCGTCCTCGGTGGGTCCTCCTCTTCCCTGAGCCCGAAGCGCCGATCCTCCATCGTCTTCCAATCCCCCTTGTCCGGCACGGCGAGCTTAGGCACCGCTTCCCCCAGCAATGCCGGCAACAGGTCCGCAGCTGCAGCGGGCCCAGGAATTCCAGCGGACGTCGTGGATCCGATGATTCCATGGATGGCGCAAGGAGCTCAGCAAGGCGCCCTCTTGGCATCGAGGCCCAGCACGTCCATGAGGATCGTTCATGAGGATGACCTGATTCCGATGATGGCAGCTCGAGCTGCTGAGCTGGAGTCCGTTGCTAGCAGAAGGGCGAAAACGATCGGTGCAGTCAAACGAGAAGAAGCGCTGCAAGACGCCGCCTTGATTCACATGAAGCTTGGGAAAATAGAGCGGTAAAAGACTCGATTTGCCCACACTCACACCCCGCCGCCTTTTGGTACTAATTTAATCTCGCCTGTACTTTGCAGCATGCCTGTCCGTAGCCTGCTGCTCCGCTTGCCTCTAGTTTGCTTCTACCTTCTTCTTCCCCTCCCCCCAATTCGAGAGAGCATGGCCATTGATTACAGCTGTGTGCTGTGCGCTAGAATGACCAAAACTAATGCCGTCTACTCAGGAGAGGAAGTTTTCTTTTCTCTTTTTTTTTTTTTTTTTTCCAATGCTTTGTTGCAGAATTGAGTACCTCCAAGGCTCATACAGTCCACACACACTCCACAGTTCACCATTGTTAAACCACCAGGCCCAGGGGGCCAAGCCCCACTTACCCGTATCCTTCATTTCTGCCCGTAGATTGCAGAGATAGGCGGTCAGATATGAAGCATACGGGTAAGTGGGACTTGGCTCCTGGCCGTGGGAAAAAATAAAGCAGAATATTTCCTACTGGGTTGAATTTGGGCGCTCAATTCCAGGCCAGTTCATCCGAGCGCGGCTGCTCAGTGTATGCGTGCTTGGGTACTGGTGGGTTTAAGGACCACAAACCCCTTCTGTAAGGAGTGCGAGGCTGAGGGAGACAGGGAGAGCAGAGGGAGAGGAGAGAGAGAGAGAGAGTGAGAGCACACACACACACACACTCACTCGACACGACTGAGGGACTCGAGGGACGCAGACACAGTGGCAAAGACACAAAGTCGAAGTCTTGGGTGCCGAATGCCGAAACAGCAAGTCACACTGAGTACGAGTACAGCAGCTGAAAACTGGTACGGGAAGCCGGTATAAGTACTGGTGACACGTACGGTACCAGGGGCATTTCCACAAAAGCCCTGAGGGCAGAACTGAAAAATGCGGTATTTGAAAGTGGCGCCCGAATTGCAGCATGGAGCCAGTTGTCCAAAATCCGACGGTACCAAAGGAGGGGTTTGGAAAAAAAAGGGTGCCAGGCCGAAAATGGGATGCAGCAGAAACGAGCCGATGTCAGATTAGACACAATATTGAATTTACCTGGGCTGGTTAGTCCGATGATAATACCTCAACCCCATCACCCTTTTTTTTTTTTTCAAAAAAAAGGTAGCCAGTCTGAGAATGATAAGAGCATTAGGGCGCAGCGCTACCGGGAGCGCTGCGCCCCGGCAGCATCAATCAAGGTCACCACGGAGAGGAGCCGCCCGCGTGGGATAACAGCACACAGCAAGGAAAATAGCGCGCGCGCGCTCGAGGATCGTGCGCGATTGGGCGCGCGCCCTGAGCTGAAACTTGGACCACCGGTGGTCTACGCTGTGGAGCTGAGGTGGTCCAAATTTCAGACCGAACGGTCCAGCTGATCACGAGATATCGAAGTTTTACGGCGCGCCATGGAATTCGAGTGTGTGGACCCTTCTCCTTTCGACATCCTTTCTTTCCCTTTCTGCACGTGTTTGCTGAATAAGGCGCCACAAGGAGAGCGGCTGGAGATGACGGCGTAGGATGCATGGTCTCCTCTGTCTACTTTCATCTGCCCTGCGAAGCGGTGGACTCAAGTCTCTGCGGTAAGCTTGAACTCCCTGGGGTAGCTCGTTGGCAGGCTCAACGAGATGTTGCCCCACCATCCTGATGTTGGAGAAGTTTAGGGGGATGGCCGATTGGTACCTCCGTTTGCCTGTGTTGGTGTTATGGCAGGCCCTTGAGGCCGGTAGGGCAGGTAGATGGAGGGAGTTTTGTTCTTCCCTCCCGAAGGTGAAGGGGTTGGGTTTGAGTGAGGGTGGATGAAGGGGAGACAGAGGGTTTTTTCTTCTTACGGGATTTTTTACGAAGTCACACGGCTGCAAGAAAGGAAGGAGGGCAGCTTCCCCCTGCTCATAACCATGATTTCCTAATTCACGTGTACTAATGATTGATTCTATAAGGGGGGATAATTAGAAGATCTCAGTTCACGATTTCTTGATTCGATTTCTTTCTATTGTTCATTGGGTGCTCTTCTGAATTTCTCAGTTTATGATTCCCTGATTCGTTTTCTTTCTGCTGATCAATTGGAATTTTCCTGATGATCGACATGCTCGGTTTAGACTTCAAACCTCGTATTGGAATTCCTATGAAAGCTTCCAAAAAAACTTCTGATTCTTGATTTTTTTTCCTATAAAAGCTTTAAAAAATATTCTCGAAATAATTTCCTATAAAAGCTTCTAAGAAACTTCTGATTCTACCACTCGAAATATTTTCCGAATAAAAGCTTCAAAAAACTTCTGCTTCTCGAAATATTTTCCTACATAAGCTTCTAAAAACATTTTCGAAATATTTTCCTATAAAAGATTCTAAGAAATTTCTGAAAAGATTCTTCAAATAAATTCCTATAGAAGTTCTATAAACGAAATATTTTCCTATAAAAGCTTCTAAGAAATTTCTGCAAAGATTCTTCAAATAAATTCCTATAGTTCTATAAACTCAGATAATTTTGATTTTGATCAAGGAAGGAGGGGGGGAATTAAAAAGGGGAGGATGGGAGGAGGAAAGGTGACCTTCAATCAGAGGATGGATGTCTGGGAAGGTGAGTAGGTCAGGAGGACGAGGCTGGGATGACATGGGCCGGTGCTGGAGCTTGGCTCTGTGACCCAGGGGGGAGCTTGAGGCCCATGGAATTATGCCGAGGGTGGAAGGCATAACCAGATCGTCCAACACAAGCGGCGCCGGGGTTCTGACCCTGTAACCTGTGTAGGGGTTTGTCGCTATGGGAATTGCCGAGGGAGGAAGGCACTTCCTATCCGACAGAACTAGGTTGGTCGGTACTGGGGAAGGTTGCAGTGCCCTGTTACCCATGCAGAAGGGGGTATGAGACCAAGTGTGCTCTGGTTCGAGGATCGAAAGTCGAGACCGACGGCTCCTTTGTTGAGGGGGGGACTTTAGGATGGTTGGTATTTAGTTTTGGCCTCCCCCCCCTTCTTCTTTTCTTTTTACAGATGGCTGTTCGGGGGTCTTAAGAATGCTTTTGGGCTCTCGGGATCCCTAGCAACTTTTCTCAGGTGGTTTTTTATGCTGTTATACTCAGGGACCTGTGGCTGCTCGATGCCAGAACAACGCTGGCCGGAGCTGGGGTGTTACCCTGTGACCTGTGATGCAGGAGCATGAGGCCTGGCAGAGAGATCTGGGGATGCTTAGGGGTGGGCATCCCACGGAACAGCAAAGGGTTGCTGCTGGGACGACGCTGGTCGGAGCTGGGGTGAGTTGTGTCACCCTGTAACCTAGCAGGATGTGGGGTGTGAGACCTGGAAGAGCTCGGCAGGGAGTAGGACAGTGTTGAAAGGCCTTGGAAGGAGCGTTAGGGATTCCAAGGGTTTCTGAGCATTTCTAGAACCCGCCAGACCTTTTTTATGTTTTCAAATTAYGAATCTTTACGTAGTTAAATCCAATTCTAAAAAAAGGGGGTAGTCTGTTCTGTCCTCAAAAAGTCTTATGGATCCTGGGGTTTCCTGGCAATCTCTTCTAGGTAGTTTCAAGGCTGTAATACTCGGTGACCTAAGGCTGTTCGACGCCAGAACGACGCTAGCCGGTG